ATTGTATTATTAGTAATTGTCTATCTAAGTTAATGATAAATTCGCTGCGATTATTATACCTATTATTGTTTTTATAGTCACTATAAACATGAACGTTTTTATTATTGCTGTCAAGACTCTTATTATTTGTCACAAAGCCGTTCTCATTTTTTATTAAAGGCTTTTTACAAGCTTTGGGAAATAGTGCATAATTTATCCTTAAATGATTTTATAATTTCATGGTGCCCCGATGCACCCACTAGATATCGACCAACAATAAATTGCGAAGTCCCTTAAGTTTAGTGAAAACTATTTAGACACTTAAATATATATATTGTTTGTAAAGTGATTACTTGTAAATGCTTATCAAGAAAAAATTTTTATTCAGATCATACATGTACCACCTAAGTTAATAATGCTTTTCTTCAAACTTTTCAGACTTATGGAGAAACATTTGTTCTGTGTACGCAGATGGAACCTACTGACAGTAACGGAGGAATACTCATCTGAATTATCTGTACATCTGAAATCTAATTTTTGTTTAATAAACAATTTTCAATGAATCTGCGTTCCTTCTGCTGTAATGCGATTGTGTTCCAGTAACATTAGTAACACGTGCTGAGGTAGGAGTTGAGGGTAAAACGTTAGGAGTAAATGCGGTGTCCGGAAAACTTTTGTTTACGCGATTAGATGAACAGATAGCAACGTAACGTGTCCTGTGGCTACGAACCATAGGCATTTTGTTTTTAATTATTACGATAACCGTAGTTGCACTGAGTTATAAATCTAACAGTATAGGTACAGTCTATCCTTATGGTATATTGCGGCACGTAGGAATCACAAGCGAACTATCTCAGGTAGATTTGTTTTCAATTTGTGTCTATGAATAGCCTGTAGACATCATATGATCAAATGACCTACGACAGTATACAGGCCCCTGCAAATCACCTGTGCCTCGAACTAACTGGACCAGGGAAATACCCAAAAGACAAAGCAGATGGCGCCTCTTCGAAAAAGGGACATACGGTATAACTTCCCCAATATTTCTTGAATTCCTAATGTGCTACGTCGTCTAACTAGTTAGTAGGTTGTTCCTTTAAAAACTGAAGTAAAAAAGCAGCAACCATGTAAATTTACCATAAACCAAATTTATGTAATTTGCATTATAATGATTTATATTTCGTATAAACTGGTGTTCACAAGAAATGCATGCCATTTCAATAGCTACTTTCAGTTGTGTAATAAATTACAATCGTGAAGTATTGTGAATTAATACTTTTCAAAAGTTTAAACTGTTTAATTATTGTACAAATAGTCAAAACAGGTTCTTGCAAATGTTAAATTGTAAACCCGTCACTGAGGTCACCATCGGAGTTGAGCGACAATCCCAAACTTCGTACCATTTCATGCTGATAATTATGGTCAGTCAGTGAACAGCGTATATTTGGGTAAGTGCTATGCCGCTACTTGATTAAAAGCTATTTCAGGAAGAGAAGAACGTCCTGGGAAACTGCAAAATGGCATAAATTACAATTATGAACAATGCATCAATGAAAGTACGTTTACAAGATAAATACAAAAGGAGCTGGAGACTCGTTGGAATGATAGTATACCTTTGCAAGGTTTAATGTGTGCGTCGGTGGCACAGTGGTTAGGACTCTCGCCGACCATGCACATGGTCCGGGGTTCGATCCCCTGCCGGCGCACACCCGATATCTATGGTCGGCCTGCAAAATTTGGGCTACCGATATCCATGCTGAAAATTCCATACTTGTACTGAAAATACGGTGTGGAATCAAGCTGTAAATCAAAATCAAATCAAAATCAAATGTCAACCATACTGGTCTCACCATGGAAACTGTGACGTTTAGATGAAAATATAGCTTTGCTCAAACACTGTTGTCGTTGTGCTTCTTTTCACCAAAAGCAACCGGACTTTAAGCAAGCAGCGAATATGAATAAAAGAATAAGTTTCAGCTTTAATAAAGGCCTAGTTAATTAAAATGAAAACAGAGTATAATAGGGCATAAATACAAAGATTACCGTAAGGTGGATAAGTGATATTTCAGTGAGAAATGGATTCGAAGATCTGGTAGTTTAGAATCCGTAGGACAAGATGAACTGTGAGATGTCGCACGAATTTCTATAGGGTCCATGAGGTAGCATCTTGACAAGAAGCTGAACAGGCTTGTAAATGGCAGGAGCAAAGGCATTTTTTATAATTTAGATCTGTACAACCCTTATTGTTTTTTGTTAAGGATCCAGACTAATGTTTAATTCTCTAGCTGTCGAAAATGCATGCTGCTGTCCTGCAGATCGGAGTGATTCACACTTGTGACCACTGCCATGTCTACTGATCAGCATGCGCCACCCTCCACCCTTGCCTGTAAAATTGGTACAATCCTATTCAGACAGGAGTAGATATATTTTTACTACATAAGACACCACATCTATACTTAGTTTGAACGAGCGCAACTGGTATGGGAGCAAAAACAATGGATTTCTGAATCAGTATTCCGCACGAACTAGCATAAAGTTATGAAAATGCAATTTTATATGTTTAAAACTCTGAGATCTACTGTCTAGATATCATTATGAATCAACACCTATTGATACAGACTAGCAAGAATACTGAGGTTGTCCACACAAATACGCTATCAAATAACACACACCACTTGTGTTACTGTATGAACACAACTTCGTCACTAGGGTAAACTGTAACTCCACTTGCACATAAGTTACCTCCCAAACCAGTTTAACTCCATTTCGCCTCAGTAATAAGGTAGAACTAAAGAGGTCAGTTACAATCTGAACTTCCTCAGGACGTTGGTCCTGCATAATCTTGTATAGCAAAGAATATTGTAAACATATTTACATACTTTATCTCCCTGCTGAGCGTAAACTTCTATATACCTCCTGGTTGAGGTCGAACAACCCAACATCCAAATTGAAATGACCATTTATGTAAATTCAAACTCAAATTCCATGAACGATCCGATGCAACCACTTGAAAACGCCGGCTAACATTCTGTACAAGGAGTATTCTTGATCTGAAATAAAGAAGCAACTGGTTTTCAAACAGTTCTCAATGTATTACTCAACTTACATGTACAGTCTGCCATGCTGACGCAAATGGCGCAAATGGATAGTTCTAGAATTGACCCCATTTGATGCAGTAAAACAATCTAACATTGCCTTATCTAACTTTAGTATCAAAGATCAAATTTCTTTCCTATTATAAAACTACGATAAGACTGCTGACAAAAATGGAATAAATACATTATTGAATCAAAATAATACATCAATAAACTTTATCTCACGGATGCTGTTCACAACAAAGTTTTATAGGAGAATTGACTTCAAGCTTTATTTTTCCCAGATATTTGTATCACACTCATCTGAAGTCTGGGTTTTTTGTTAATGCGAAGACAATATTTCTATATCTCTTTATGTGTTACACAGACAGACTATTTTGCAGACTGTTCTGACTGACTCTAATGTTAGATTGAACAAACAAACTGTAATTTATATAATAACTTATCCATGCCTGTACAATTGGTATGTTCCTGCATAAACAGGAATAAATATATATATATATCGAACGTTGTGTCCAGCCGTTTTGAAGGCATTTGATCGGTTTTTACTTAGCTAGCATATCTCTTGTACCATTTGCCATGATATATACGAGGACACTTCGCAATTGCTTTTATCTTTACCCAGCATTTGCGATTTTCTGAAGTCCACTTTAGATCGTGTTAGGCGACAGTAATGCCACTGGAAACAATCATGATTATACCTGGGCGTCTGTAAATGGCACCAGTGCAATAAACTTGCAAATTGTTGCCATTGCGGTTGCTGAATGTGTGTATAATCTGCTTCACAAGAGCTGGATAGAAATCAGCGAGGCACGGAAAACAGTGTAAAGCCTTATTCTTTAGATACTTCAAGGAAATGAGAATGGTTGAGCGAGCTGAGTGATGTTGCATGCACTGTTATAAAACTTCATGGAGTGGTGGTTCAAGGAAGGATGGCCTATTTTATGTAGTCCTTCAATACCACTATGTTGAAATATTGGCACATCCCTGTAAAAATATTAGGCAGAGGGCTAGGCAATAGTAACATTCAGGCATACACCACTCGGATCTTCCATCGTACATAAGGCTTGGGATGACAGAAATATAAACTGGGGTAGGTAACTGGCAAAGACTGTGCAAGTCGCTGACATGTGTTAGTCCATACAAAGCCAGTTACTACATATGCATAGTACGTATCCTTCACTCTTAGAACATTCTGGACTTTCGCCTGCAATAATGTATCTTCGAGGTTATCTTTGTTATCTAGGTATCTAAATTTTGCAATTATGAAATGACTATACCAGCGATTATATCAACAGCAGGATTCATGAAGCATGGATTTCAGTATAGTGGGAGTGATCGTTCAAGCTGGGTACCCAGATATCTGTTCATCTTCACTCAGAATGAACTAATGAATGTGTTTTTAAGTACCATCACTGTACGTTTAGGAGACCATATCAACTTTGGAAAAGGCGAAGAGGATGTTCAAGCATGTATTACTGAAGGCAGAACCCACAGGTTCTGGAAAATTATCAGGTGGAATATCAAAGTCACAAAAACAATGGCGTGCTCAACAGATTAACTGAAATAATACCGCTTTTTATGATGATTTGTGTGTAGCGATAAAACTGATTTCAATCAAAATGAATACAGAATGTAATGGAGGAAAGTGTCTGTCCCTTTTTCACTTATTATACGAATCTAGATGTACGTAGCAGTCAGTTTAATGTGCTCGGGAGTTTTATTAAGAGGTGAAGGAGGGAGATCAAGTTAGCAGACTATATTATCTGTTTACGATTTTCCAGATAAGGAATTGCAGGTGGCATTTTACACTTAACCTTTCGTTGTTTTCTTGTCTATCTTATTTAGATGGTTGGTGAAAGATTTAAGTTTCTTTTTGGAGGTTGTCTGAAACAATGTTATTTTTGGCAGCTACTTTAAGAACAACCTAAGGTCAGTTGAAGGTGAAGTAAGAGCGTCATTTTGATTGTGAAGGACACATGAGGCCCAGATGAGTAGGGTTTTGCGCCTGGATGGAGAGTTATTAAGGATAACGGTTAACGAACTATCCAAAGTGACAGAACTCAAAGGAATACCGGTAACATCCAATAAATATTAATTTTTTCTATTACAGTGGTCGAGGTTTACCGAACTAAATCGCATTCTGAAGGGTTTCCGTACACATGAAATGACAGTTCTCTCTGGAAATACAGGGGTTGGTAAAACGACTTTCCTGTGTGAATATTCTCTTGATCTCGCGGAACAAGGAGTCCCAACATTGTGGGGTAGTTTTGAAATGCCTCTTCGGAAAGTGTGCAAGACGTTAGTTCAGCAATTTGCTGGGTGAGTCAGTGACTTTTGGCAACTAAAGTCCATATAGTGAACCGCTAGATCCGCCTGTACCTAGTAGAATCGCAGATTGGGCACGCATGTTTAGTCAAAATATTCCCATTTATTTCATGAACCTGCATGGGACTCAAAATGTAGCAGAAGTATTGAAGGTGCCTAACATAACTTTTGCCTTTTTATGTAGTTTGTGTCTGCATATTTTATTATTATGGTTTTGTTACGTTTTGTACATTGTGGGCTTAAGCTTTTTGTTGCATTGAATGATGTGATTCTCCCCAAATAACATACTCAGGGAAAGTTGAATGTTAACCATATTGTCCATCTTACCTCGAGTACGCCTTTAGATCTCCTTTTATTTTTCTGGCTTTTTGCCCTGTACAACACTGTAGTTTATGCTAGTTTAAGGAGGATCATTCGTAACTAGTTCCAAAACGATTACTTTAATTTTATTCTACAAAAGTGAAGATTTTGCAAAGATTTTAGTTGCTTTGTTTATTCTATTGGAACACAGCAGCTTGGATCGAAATTATAACTTACATTAAAATGAACGTATGCTCACTATTACTTGCTGATTTCACAACTATGTTGTTGATAAGACCCTAGTTTAACACCTAGATTTGTTATCAGTTTTGTAGCTGTTAAACTGACAGCATATAAGTATGAGCTCCCCTAACCCACCGTTTCCCAAACACGTCACGTTGTCTATTGCTTATGTATGTGATGTTGTAGCTGTAAAGATCACCAGCTTATTATTAATTAACATTGATGAAGGATATCAACTTCACCGTACTCAATCATTATGGACATCCTTTGGTTACCGTCTAAGCTGTTTTCCTTCGTCGTTGAATCAGTTCGAACCGAACTGTTTTTAGATGTTCTATGAGTTGGGTTTGCTTCATTTTTGTCAGTCTCTTCACAAAGCTCAGCATGATAGTAATATTCTTCAGCCGGGATAGAATTTTCCTGCACAACTGAACGTTTATTTGGTTGCGTTATAAACGTAGATTGTATTTCATTTTCAAGCTGAGCTAATAATGGCCTTAAGGGCTTATTTTTACATAATTGATTATCAGTTTATTCTGTTGAAGTTTCTGGTTTTCAGGTGGGACATTATCTCTTCTGTTTAGCGAAATTATTGCTGATAATATATTAACGGTCATTTAAACATTTTAGCGATAAGCAGTCAGAATTATCAGTCCTATGGGTTCGGAACGAGATGGTTATGAAGATGTTGCCTTCATTTTCATGTTTGTGCCATATGTAATGGGTCGTCACTATTATCACTGTCGACAGCTCCTTTGAGTTCACACTAGGTCATTTCAGGTGATTACCAAATAGCATCATATTACTTATTTATTTTATTTTGATTTACAGCTTGATTCCACACCGTATTTTCAGTACAAGTGTGGAATTTTTAACATGGATATCGGTAGCCCAAATTTTGCAGGCCGACCATAGATATCGGGTGTGCGCCGGCAGGGGATCGAACCCCGGACCATGTGCATGGTCGGCGAGAGTCCTAACCACTGTGCCACCGACGCACACTTAATTTCCAACCCCACAAAAACTGGTTTGAAGCCCTTCTATACTCTCAGGGTGAATTCTAAAGGCTTTTGGCATTGCTCAGATAAGGCCAAGGGAATAACGTTATGACGGATTACTTGTAGCACAAATACTAGATTTTTAGACAGTGTGTCCTGCTGTCTAATTCAGTATGCTTTGCAGTTATTGAGTTTTCTTTAAATACTTAAATTACGGTTTGAAAATATTAGAAACGTTATTTCACCAAATCCCAACAGTTAACATTAGTTGAGGAGCTAAAAAGTTAAATATACTTCAGCTGTTAACAGAAAGGTGGGAAGATAAGAATCGGACCTGTTTAAAAATACTGAATTGCTACTAGATGTGTTCAAATGCTTAGAATTTCATTGTGCACATCCGTCATTAATACTTGTTTCTTTTAGAAGTTCCTAAAGACGAAGTACTTTTAGTAATCGCTGGTCCACTGGACTTTTAAACATGTCCAGGCAATAGTTGCTCAAAAATTTAGGTTTAGTTATTGTATAATTCTCAGTAATAATCTCGAATAGTGTGCTGTTCTCAAGGTTAGGTTTTTTTTAACCTATTCTGAAGATTACCTTAGAATAATAATGAAAAGATTTGTGTTTTCGCATGAGGATGGAAATTATTTGGTGTTCTGCTAGCTTTTGTGCCTCATCACCGGGTTTGGTGATATATTCAAGGGTACAACGCCTTCAGTGTTTCCTTCATAAATCAATAAAAATCCTATTTTTCGATACTGACCAGATAGTAATTCCAGCTGGAGTATAGTCCAGCAAATTGTAATTCCATGTCCATCATAACTTAGCTGATTATGCTATAGATCTGTAAATCGACTTTTTTCAAACTCGTCCATATGTTTCACATAAGATTGTCTTGTATTTTTTGTTGAAATATATCAGTTATCAGGTTAGATTAGTCTAAAAATAAAAGTCCACGAATGGTTTATTTTTTGTCAGGTTTAAACAATGTGTTTCTAAAGGCAACAAGACTAAGTATTCACGGTGATTGTTTATTATATTTTTTTTCAATGTACTGAAAGTTTATTGATTTTTAGTGATATTATTGTAGGTTTTTTTATACTGGGTTGGATCCATCAGTCGTTCTTATTGGTATATGAGCTTCTGTGATAGATGTATAGTTATCACTTTGATAATATTTATTTTCTCCCTAATATTTATTATCTTAGGCACTGAATACAGTCCAGTTAAATCACAAAAAAGGTATATATTCTATACAATTGTCAGATCTTGGTTTTCCCCCCATTTTGCAGTCCATTATTCAAGCTTTCTTGGATCTACTAGTCATTTTATTTTGGTGTAATTTCACTGTTCACTGACAACTTGATTTGTTTATTTTCAGGTTATTTAAGCTATCTTTTTATTTCTCGTCGATAATGTATTTATGGCCAATTGACTGTGTACTTGGAAATGGTTTTTTTTCATTCCCCACGAAATCGTATCGTTTATTCAATGGTGGAATGCTCGGCAGTCTTGCGCGGGGGTCTGGGTTCTATTCCCGACCAATGCATTTCTAAGTCTCATTTAGTCTGCTAGGCTGTAGCCAGTCCAAAAAGGAAGGAGGATTGGGTGTGAGGCCATAAGCAAACAATATCACAATGGAAATTTCAAAAGCTTAATGCCCCATATTCCAAT